GGGGCGTTATTATATTTCATCAACTGTATTAGACCCTATGGATGAAGCCCCGGTAAGAGACTGCAATTTGGCGCCACGGGCTATTCGAGTGCGCTAAGGCTAATACATTCGTTTTAAATATTGCGATAGACTTTGGATATCATGGGGCGTTTTAATGTTTGACTAAACTAAATTAGGTGCAGAGGCGTAGCGTGAGTGGGCGTGGGATGTGGACCCCACCGGATTACAATGTTTTGGGGGAAGACAAAAAGCCGAAAAATTGCAAAATATACAGAAGAAAAATGCTTTTTTTTAGCTAGTTCCATTAATGATTACTTAACATTTAAAAGTCTTTTAACTACGAATCTAATATTATTCGAAGGGGGTAGGGATGACACCAGAAAGCAAACGAGCTAACTATAGAGAAAACAATGCTACATCTAACTGTATTTTTAACAGACTAAAGTTTAACATCGTTACTATTAAGTGATTAAAGCTTATACACATACATGGGGTCCACGTGGTAGAGTCGGTACAGCTCATGGTTATAAAACGAAAAGACTCGAGTTTGAACCCTCGGGCAGATGAGGCTAGTTAGCTGGGGACATCAACTTTTCCACCAGAGACAACTCTAAAATTAAACAACTGCTACCTTTTAGTTGGTATTTGGTTAGACAAAGGGTTTGGAAGCCAATCCAAACAGAAAAGTAGGCTGAAATAGGAGTCAATGGCGCATAATTAGTTGACATATATACTAAGTTGTGTTGTAGGGGATCCCTCAAACATTAAAATTAAGAACGAAAAAGAAGATAACCATAAATGTACGTGTATGTGGTATATATTTAAATTATAGTCTTAAGCAGAGTGGCCCACATGCATATATATATATATATATATATATATATATATATATATATATATGTATATGTATATATATATATGTATACATATGTATATATATATATATATATATATATATATATATATATATATATATATATATAAATATATATATATATATATATATACTAGCTGCATCCCGTGCTCCGCCACGGTAAATCTTTTTAAAATATACCAACTTTGGAACAGAACAAAACAAACAAACAAAAACACAACACAAACACAAACACAAACACAAACACAAACAAAACACAACCACAACCACAACACAACCACATTACAACCACAACACAATCACAACACAACCACAACACAACCACAACACAACCACAAAACAACCACAACACAACCACAACACAACCACAACCACAACACAACCACAACACAACCACAACCACAACACACTGTAAATCTTTTTTAAATGTACCAAGTTGGGAACAGAACAAAACTACACACAACACAAACGAACGCAAAGAAAAAACAAAAACGAAAAAACAAACACAACACTCAACATAAACTCAATTTAAATGTAATCATAAAGGCATATTGCTCACAGTCTATCCCGTAGCGCCAAATCGCGCCCTTTCCGAGCGCCGGCGGAAAATTTCGATTTACACCCTCCCACCTCCCTCAAACTTTCCATTTCCACCCTCCCCCCCCCCTCTTGCTACGCCTCTGTTATAAAACCCCTAGCTTTTCCGCAAATAAATTAAAGGCAGTATTTAGAATATCCGTGTTTTACCGATCATATTGCACTTTATAAATTCATCCATTTTTTCAGTACTTTTAAAAATTTACAATAAAGTTTCATGACTAAAACCATTGCGCGCCTAATGAACGTGATGACTTAATATAGTAATGGAGAATAGTTGATTAAAAATTATAATTAGTAAACAGTACATTCAGTGAATAAAATAAATAAAACATAGCCTTTTATCAATCAATGCTAATAATAATATTCCAACAATAATGTACTCTTACACGTCTGCATATTTTGCATTCACATTTTGCTAATTATATTATTCCAACAATTATTCCGTCTTGCAGATTTTGCATTCACATTTTTTGCGTGAGTTCAATTTATCTTTGAATTACCTCCATTGGCAAAATTACTAAGCAGTTTAATTAGATTTTTCTACCGTACTGTTATTATGTTATTAATATGTATCCACTTTTTCTGGGAATATTAACGAAAACGATATTTGACATTGATCCTTTTAATATGTTTTAGCAATGTGCGTATATTCAATATTCTCTTTACTTTATTCAAAATTGTACAAACAGTGGAAATTATAAAGTAGCTCTATGCCGTTATATAAACAAACCCTACTCTATTACCTATAATAAGACACTGCGGTGCACTGAAAAGCACAGCATGGTGCGTAGTTTACTTTTATAGTCCCAAAATCTATAGCGATGACGGACGGAAGGACAGACACAGCCCGCTTATATTATAGATATATATATATATATATATATATATATATATATATATATATATATATATATATATATATATATATATATATATATATATATATATATATATATATATGATTATGTGTGTTTTTCAGTATATCAACAAGAAGGGAACAGTCATGGAAATAGACAAAGACGGAGATGTTCGTGTTGTTTTTGATGATATGAAGAAATGGTTCTATAATCCTGATGCTTTAGACAAATGTAATCGTTTTGATGTAGGTGACACAGTCATATGTAACAAGGACGCTGAGACCATGAAAGCTTTACAACAAGGCCACAAAGGTTGGACTGACGGAATGGCAAAGGTTAGAAAATAATTAATACACTCTAATGACTAAAACAGGCTGCGATTTTGATGCGATAAGACATTGTTTATCCGATTGCCCTGAAACTTTGCGGAGTTGATGTGAATACTCTCGTGAAGGTTTCTTCGATTAAAAAAAAATTATTTTCGGCGCCGGTGAATAATGAGATTTTTGGCACGGTTTGGCTCCAAGATTTTTTGATGGGCAACGGGGCATTTGGTATCAGTTAATCGGACGTCCTGCATAGCGGGTAAGGAGTACTACTATATTCAGCATTATAGCTATGGTGCCTAGATTCGTTTTGATGGAGAAACACGACACTATTCATAAGGAGACCGAGCCAGTGGCCGTAATTGGCGCCTCTACTATAGTGTAATCAAGGGCTAACAAGAACGCGCCTCTACGTCCCCGACAGGTAGTTGGTGAGGGATTAACATGGATATTACGATTAGTGATTTACTTACACTCTAGGGCTTTTATACAGCACGCCCAATGGCTGGCATGATGGTAGTGTAGCTAAAACCCGTGCCTCGATAAAAACAATCCAAGCCAGGCATTGCTTACATTTAAATAACACAGTTTTAGAAGACAAGGTAACGCCTCTTAGAATATAGGATTGGTAAAGCATTGATAAAACACTCCTAAATATATTTTGTCAGTCTTCATAATTCTTTTATTAATAATAGAAATTTCATCCGATCAAAATTAAACTATAAAAAGTTGTTGAAGATGCTCCTGCTGGAATGTTTCTGAGAAAAAGGATATTTCAATTTCGCACGGGCTGCGCAAACGTAAGGTGCGATTTGGCGCCCCTGGCGATTTTGTGAGCGCTTAAATAATCGTATTAAATAGTGCGATAGGCTGCGTATATCAGGGGCGTTATTATATTTCATCAACTGTATTAGACCCTATGGATGAAGCCCCGGTAAGAGACTGCAATTTGGCGCCACGGGCTATTCGAGTGCGCTAAGGCTAATACATTCGTTTTAAATATTGCGATAGACTTTGGATATCATGGGGCGTTTTAATGTTTGACTAAACTAAATTAGGTGCAGAGGCGTAGCGTGAGTGGGCGTGGGATGTGGACCCCACCGGATTACAATGTTTTGGGGGAAGACAAAAAGCCGAAAAATTGCAAAATATACAGAAGAAAAATGCTTTTTTTTAGCTAGTTCCATTAATGATTACTTAACATTTAAAAGTCTTTTAACTCCGAATCTAATATTATTCGAAGGGGGTAGGGATGACACCAGAAAGCAAACGAGCTAACTATAGAGAAAACAATGCTACATCTAACTGTATTTTTAACAGACTAAAGTTTAACATCGTTACTATTAAGTGATTAAAGCTTATAAACATACATGGGGTCCACGTGGTAGAGTCGGTACAGCTCATGGTTATAAAACGAAAAGACTCGAGTTTGAACCCTCGGGCAGATGAGGCTAGTTAGCTGGGGACATCAACTTTTCCACCAGAGACAACTCTAAAATTAAACAACTGCTACCTTTTAGTTGGTATTTGGTTAGACAAAGGGTTTGGAAGCCAATCCAAACAGAAAAGCAGGCTGAAATAGGAGTCAATGGCGCATAATTAGTTGACATATATACTAAGTTGTGTTGTAGGGGATCCCTCAAACATTAAAATTAAGAACGAAAAAGAAGATAACCATAAATGTACGTGTATGTGGTATATATTTAAATTATAGTCTTAAGTAGAGTGGCCCACATGCATATATATATATATATATATATATATATATATATATATATATATATATATATATATATATATATATATATATATATATATATATATGTATATGCATATATATATATGTATGTATATATATATATATATATATATATATATATATATATATATATATATATTTATATATATATATATATATATATATAAATATATATATATATATATATATATATATATATATATATATATATATATATATATATATATATATATATATATATATATATGATTATGTGTGTTTTTCAGTATATCAACAAGAAGGGAACAGTCATGGAAATAGACAAAGACGGAGATGTTCGTGTTGTTTTTGATGATATGAAGAAATGGTTCTATAATCCTGATGCTTTAGACAAATGTAATCGTTTTGATGTAGGTGACACAGTCATATGTAACAAGGACGCTGAGACCATGAAAGCTTTACAACAAGGCCACAAAGGTTGGACTGACGGAATGGCAAAGGTTAGAAAATAATTAATACACTCTAATGACTAAAACAGGCTGCGATTTTGATGCGATAAGACATTGTTTATCCGATTGCCCTGAAACTTTGCGGAGTTGATGTGAATACTCTCGTGAAGGTTTCTTCGATTAAAAAAAAATTATTTTCGGCGCCGGTGAATATGAGATTTTTGGCACGGTTTGGCTCCAAGATTTTTTGATGGGCAACGGGGCATTTGGTATCAGTTAATCGGACGTCCTGCATAGCGGGTAAGGAGTACTACTATATTCAGCATTATAGCTATGGTGCCTAGATTCGTTTTGATGGAGAAACACGACACTATTCATAAGGAGACCGAGCCAGTGGCCGTAATTGGCGCCTCTACTATAGTGTAATCAAGGGCT